GGCAGGGCTTGGGACAGTGGGTCTCTGGGCGGACTCTGGGCAGTGAAGCGATGGGAAGTGCTGGACAGTGAAGGGGGGGCACTGGGAAGTTGTGGTGGGGCTGTGCAGGGTGTGCTGGGCAGGGGGAGGTCTGATTGCATTAGGGGTAGAACCTGCCCAGCCATCTGGACGCTCTGGCGCTGCTGGCACTAGGTCCTGCCTCCTTCCTTGCAGGAGACCAGGATGGGAGCCAACGGGCAGCTAAGATGTACTGAGCATTCTCCAAACCAGGGATAGTGCAATGCAATCCCCAGCACGTGGATACAGCAGAGGGAAGCAGGCAGCTGTCGCATCCGACTGCATCTCCTCCCTCCCTCTGCCTCTTGGCAGGGACTGAAGTGGGTGGCAGATGGGGTGAAACAGGTTCATGTGCTGTGTCCATCCCAACCCTTTCACAAGGCCAGGGAAGCACTAGGGGCTGGAGGGCCATGGAGTCCCTGATACAAGAGGTTCTACTAGTATGATAAAGGCCAGTTGTTCCCCTCTTCTATATTCCCCAGCCTGGGCCCTGAAAGGCATTAGTGAGCAGAGTGAGCACGGTACAGATGGGGGAATGGCAAGAGACTAGACCACATTTGCAGGGGTCTTGAGAACAAGGAGCCAGCTGGGAGCTGGGGGCAGAGGCATGACCCCTTTCCAGAGCTCAGGGTGCACGGGACACATGTAGGGGAATGTGTCCTGTGAAGGGCATGGGGGCAGAACAAGGGGTGGCACCTGGGCAGGTTGGGGGGGGTGGGGGGGCAAAACACATGCTGGCCAAAAAAATAATGTGTGTTTTTGGGAGGGGGAACAAATCCGAAAATGTCCAAGTCATTTTAATTCCACCCATTTCAGAGATAAATCAATGGTTTATTTGATATTGGCATGCACATATATTTAAGGGTTGTCTCCATAGGAAAGTTAGATTGCGCTAAGCTAAGATGTGAATTTAAACCAGTATAGTTATGCCAATTTACTTCCCGGTGGAGATGCACTTATTCTAGTATAAGTGTTTAGCTGATGCCACTTGGGAAGGGATTAGTTTGAGTTAAAGAAAAAAAAAGGCCATTCTTATTCTGGAATAAGAGTATCCACACAAGGAGTGCTACCAGTATAAGTATATTGGTTTAACTATTCCAGTATAATTATCCCAGGCTAACTGGTAAAACTTTCTCCAGCAGTCATGCAGACAAGCCCTTATTATTCAAGACAATGTTCATTTTTTCTTTGCTTTTTCAGTTTTTCTTTCTCCCCCCTTTTCCCCCAATTCAGTCTTGTTTTTCCTTTTCCTGTTTTGCTACTGAACTCTGTTGAAAATCTATGATTTTGGAAAGTTTGTTTGTTTTGAAGAAGGTACATCACCAATAGGAATTTACTAAGTGTGTCAATAAAGCAATCAGACATGGGTTAAGGAGAGAGAATACATCTTGGCTTTAAGAACAAAAGAGATTGAAAAGATTAGGATGATTTAGGTGCCTAATTGACTAAGGAACCTCGTAAAATTTTCAAAAGTATTTAAGAGCCAAAGTCCCATTTTCAAAAGTGCCTTAGGGACAATTTTTTAAAAGTATTTAGGTGCCTAGTGGGATTTTCAAAAGCATCTAGGCACCTAGATGCCTTTGAAAAGTCATTGATTTCATTGGGTGTTTGGCACCCAGATGCCTTTGAAAATCTGGCCTTAAGACACATTTGAAAATGGGACTTAGGCTCTTAAATACTAAGTGCTATTAAAATTCAATAGAAATCAGTTTGCTACGTGTCTTAGGCACTTTGGAAAATAGGATTCAGGGTCCTAAATCAAATAGTGTTCTCTGGAAATTTTACTTTTAATTTGAGAAGAATGGTAGGGACGTTCAAAGGAATCTAGGGGAGTTAGGCAAACCAATTCCTTTGAAATTCAGAGCCTTAGGCTCCTCTGACAATCCCTTCCAAAATGACAAAGAGGGAAAAAGAAAAGGTAAGTAAAATAAGGGATGGTATCAAATAGATCAGCCATGAACTTCTATTCACTCTTTTTCATAAAGCGTTGCCACTGAACTTTGTACTTAGCTCATTTAGGATTCATAGGAGGAAATATTTTTTACATCATGTGGATTGAGCCTGTGGAAACTCACTGCCTAAGTAAATTACTGACAGTAGGAGACAGAAAAAGATAATCCATTTCTATGGGTACAAAGGTTATTCATACCTACACTAGCTAGGTGAAAATGTCCAAAGAATATCAGCTTCCATGCTTCAGGGCATAAGTCATCAAGTAACTGCCGGGGGTTGGGGATAAACGTTCCCTAACATGGCTGGGATTTTCAAAGTTAGTTAGGCATCCAACTTAATTGAAAATCAATGGGAGTTGGGCACCTATCTCTTGTAATTGTCCTCTTAAGGATTCTACATAAGAACATAAAAATTTGCCATATTGGGTCAGAACAAAAGTCCATCTAGCCCAGTATCCCTGTCTTCTGACAGTGGCCAATGCCAGCTGCCCCAGAGGGAATGAACAGAACAGGTAATCATCAAGTGATCCATCCCCTGTCGCCCCTTCCCAGCTTCTGGCAAACAGAGACTAGGGACATCACCCCTGCCCATCCTAACTAATAGCTGTTGAACGACTTATCCTCCATGAATTTATCTAATTCTTTTTTGAGCCCTGTTATGCTCTTGGCCTTCATGACATCCTCTGGTAAAGAGTTCCATAGGTTGACTATGTGTGAAGAAATACCTTTTTGTTTTTTTTAAACCTGCTGCCTATTAATTTCATTTGGTGATCCTTAGTTCTTGTGTTATGAGAAGGAGTAAATAACACTTCCTTATTTACTTTCTCCACACCAGTCATGACTTTATAGACCTCTATCATATTCCCCCTTAGTTTTCTCTTTTCCGCGCTGAAAAGTCCCAGTCTTATTATCTCTCCTCATATGGAAGGTGTTCTATACCCCTAATAATTTTTGTTGCCCTTTTCTGAACCTTTTCCAATTCCAATATATCTTTTTTAAGATGTAGCGACCACATCTGCATGCAGTATTCAAGATGTGGGCAAACCATAGATTTATATAGCAGCAATATGATATTTTCTATCTTATTATCTATCGCTTTTGTGAGTAAAAAAAATCTTCAGATGCATGGAGTGAAAATTACAGATAGAGGCATAAATATACTGGCACAAGAGGGGAAGGGAGTTACCTTACAAGTGGAGAACCAGTGTTGACAAGGCCAATTCAGCCAGGGTGGATGTGGTCCTCGCCCAATAATTGATGAGGAGGTGTCAATACCAAAAGAGGGAAAATGCTTTTGTAGTGAGCCAGCCATTCCCAGTCTCTATCAAGCCCAAATAATGGTGTTAAGTTTGCTTTTTGTCTGCCGCTGCACATAGAGTGGATGTTTCCAGAGAACTATCCACAATGACTCCAAGATCTTTCTCTTGAGTGGCAACAGCTAATTTAAACCCAATCATTTCATATGTATAGTAGGGATTATGTTTTCCAATGTGCATTACTTTGCATTTATCAATACTGAATTTCATCTGCCATTTTGTTGCCCAGTCACCCAGTTTTGTGAGATCCCTTTGTAGCACTTCACAGTCTGCTTTGGACTTAACTATCTTGAGTAGTTTTGTATCATCTACAAATTTTGCCACCTCACTGTTTACCCCTTTTTCCAGACCATTTAAGAATATGTTGAATAGGACTAGTCCCACTACAGACCCCTGGGTGACCCCACTATTTACCTCTCTCCATTCTGAAAACTGACCATTTATTCCTATCCTTTGTTTCCTATCTTTTAACCAGTTATCAATCCATGAGAGGACCTTCCTTCTTATCCCATGAGAGCTTACTTTGCTTAAGAGCCTTTGGTGAGGGATCTTGTTAAAGGCTTTCTGAAAATCTAAGTACACTATATCCACTGGATACCCCTTGTCCACGTGCTTGTTGACTCCCCTCAATAATTCTAGCAGATTGGTGAGGTATGATTTCCCTTTACAAAAACCACGTTGACTCTTCCCCCATCAAGTTATGTTCATCTATGTGTCTGACAATTCTGTTTTTTGTTTACTAAACTTTCAACCAATTTGCCCTTTACTGAAGTCAGGCTTACAGGCCTGTAATTGTCGGGATCACCTCTGGAACCCTTTTAAAAAATTGGCTCCACATTAGCTATCCTCCAGTCCTTTGGTACAAAAGCTGATTTAAATGATAGGTTACAAACCACAGTCCTGCAATTTCACATTTGAGTTCCTTCAGAACTCTTGGGTGAATACCATCTGATCCTGGTGACTTAGTACTGTTTAATTAACAATTTGTTCCAAAACCTCCTCTAATTACACCTCAATCTGAGACAGTTCCTAAGATTTATCACCTAAAAAGAATGGCTCAATTTTGGAATCTTTCTCACATCCTCAGCTGTGAAGGCAGATGCAAAGAATTTGTTGAGTTTGTCTTCAATGGCCTTATTGTCCTTTAGTGCTCCTTTACCATCTTGATCGTCCAGTGGCCCCACTGGTTGTTTAGCAGGCTTCCTGCTTCTGATGTACTTAAAAAAAATGGCTATTACTTTTTGAGTCTTTGGCTTGCTGTTCTTCAAATTCTTTTTTGGCTTTCCTAATTATATTTTTACACTTCTCTTGCCAGAGTTTATGCTCCATTCTTTCTATTTTCTTCACTAAGATTTAACTTCCACTTTTTAAAGGATGCCTTTTTGCCTCTCACTGCTTCTTTTACATGCTCATCTATAGAATCGGATTCTGGCTACTGATGGAGACAACATACAAGACAATAAGAAACTATCATCTGATGTGGTGTGGAAATTGTTACATTCCTGTTTCCTTACAACATTTTAAAATGATTATTAACTTAGTCCTGGAAGAGTGGGGTGGGGGACTAAGTTTGCTTCTTGGCCATTTTAAGGTGAACTAGCTGAATATTGATTCTAGTTATTCTGGTATATTTGTATATTGTTATTACTTTTCTTTATTGAGGTTGCTGCATTGAATGGAGGAAAGAAAGTGGGGAAATCAGACGTTGATCAGAGAATTCATCCTCTTGGAATTGGGGAATATCGCTGAAGTGCAAGTTCTTCTCTTCCTGTTGTTCCTAGCGATCTACATTGTGACCATGGCTGGGAACATTCTGATCATTGCCCTAGTTATGGCTAATCGACGTCTTCATACCCCCATGTACTTCTTCCTGTGGAACTTGTCCTGCTTGGAGACCTGCTACAGTTCCACAATCCTTCCCAGGATGCTGGCCAGTATGCTGACTGGGGAAAGAACCATTTCTGTTAGCGGCTGCATCACACAACTTCATTTCTTTGGTTTCCTGGCAGCTACAGAATGTTACCTGCTATCAGCGATGTCTTATGATCGGTATCTAGCAATATGCAAACCACTGCAATATGCCATCTGCATGAATGGTAGGAACTGCCTCTGGCTGGCATCTGGGTCTTGGATCAGTGGATTTCTGGGCAGTACAATAATGACATTTTTGGTGTCAAAATTAACTTTCTGTGGCCCAAATGAAATTGACCATTTCTTTTGCGATTTCACCCCAATGATTAAACTCTCCTGCAGTGACATCAGCCTGACCACCCTGGTGACCCTGATTCTTTCTTCCATGGAAACCCTGGTTCCATTTCTGTTAACCATGACATCCTATGTTTGCATCATAGTGACCATTCTAAGGATCCCTTCCACCAGCGGGAGGCAAAAGGCCTTTTCCACCTGCTCCTCTCACCTCGCCATGGTCACAATTTTTTATGGCACTATAATTATAGTCTATGTGATGCCAAAAAACAGTACACTGAGAGAGCTGAACAAAGTGTTCTCCGTCTTCTACACTGTCCTGACTCCCCTGGCCAACCCCCTCATCTACAGCCTGAGAAACAGAGAGGTCAAGGAGGCCCTGAGAAAATTTTGCACTAAGTATCTTGCATTCTCATGTTTTAATGCATTGGAATAATGAGTCTCGATTTATTAACCAGGAGGCACTATTTCGGACACCTCTAGCTCTGGCCAACCCCCCATCTACAGCCTGAGAAACAAAGAGGTCAGAAAAGCCCTCAGTAAATTCATTGGACCAAATTCTCACCAGGTCTCCACCCTAAGTCAATGGAGCTATGCTGGTTAAACCAGCTGATTGGCTGGTCCATGGTGATCAGAAGACTTCAGATGGGCTTCATTAAATGAGAATTAATCCTTATGTTTTAAATAGTCTGGTTGGGCTGCATCTAGGTTGATGAACACTCAAACCATCTGGCACCACCATAAGAGAATGTCAGGATGTACTGAGTTCTCAGACAGCTGCATTGACTTTAGGGCAGGTATTTGCTTCTCTTATCACCTGTGGGGTACATGGGGTGGTTTGTGGGGGGCAGTGGGGGTCTCGGGGTGCAGAGGAGGCTAAATAATGAGCCCCACGATGTGGAGGATCTGAAACGGAGTAGATAAATCTGACCAAGATTGCAACAGACAAGATCCATTCTAGGGCTGAAGGTGCTAAAATATAAAACTCGATGAAAAGATAATTTACCTGATGGATGTCCATGGTGCTTGTCTATGTAGCATTTTAATATTTTGACTAATATTTCAATTATAATGAAACAAAAACAAAGACAAGTATATCACTTATTTGTTGTCTGTCTGTCTTTCCTTTCAGTTAATGCAATTCTCATAATATCTGCAGTTATGTGCATTAATTTTCAGACATCAGTTGTGGCAGCAGAGAAATCAAGACTGAAAAAGGTCAACAAGCAAAACAAAATGACACACACAGCACAAACATAAAATCTTCTCTCTATTCTGCACATTACAATTCACCAGCTCAAACCAGCATATACTTCAGCAAGCATTCAGCAAGTGGCATGGTGGTCTAAATCACTGGTTTTCAGCCTGTGGTCCGTGGACTCCTGGGGGTCCACAGACTACGTCTAAGATTTTCAAAAGGGGTCACACCTCCATTCAAACGTTTTTAGGGGTGTGTAAATGAAAAAAAGAAAGGTTGAAAACCACTGATCTAAATACAAGGCTCTTGCTTTGAGGTCAGGAAATGCCAGCCTCAAATCCTTAGCCAAATCTAGCTGTTAGTAGGAAAGTTATTGCAAGATGAGAGATCTCCTCACAGATATACTCACCCATATGTTTGATGTAGGAATCACTTAGTGAAATTCTACAGCCTCGTAAGGCTCCTTTCTACTGTTAAAATTGACAGGTGAAGTTGTGTCTTGGCTTTGATTTCAATGGGACCAAGATCACATGCTTTGACTCTACTGCCCACTGGACAGAGCCTGGCCCGTTGACCAAATCATGGGAGTGAAAGTTAGGAGAGTTGGAACACATGCTGGGTGTGACAGATATGGAATAATTTGTTAATCCCATATCACGTTGGCCTGGTTCTTCAATGGGGTTTTCTGCACAAATGTTTTTGATTCACTGCTTCTCAGTGGGGGTTAGGGCGAGTGGTTCAGGATGGTTCAGGCAAGATATAAAAACATACACCTGAGGTGCTTGGCTTTTGGGGAGAGGTCTCGGCATATGTTGAGGGGTGTGATTCCTGGACCCATCTCAACGTTGATTGGCCTAGGGGAGAGGAAAAATTGCCACCGGAAGGCCTGCCTGTACCTCCAAACACATGCTTGGGGTGGGTTTTATGCCATGACCTTAGCACTGATTGGCCGGGGGCATGCTAAGAGGGGTATGAAATGTTTGATGGGGGTATGGAAAAGTTTGCCTTAGTGCATGAAAAAGTTTGACAGCTTGGGTTCACCTAAATTATTATTGTGGAATGGTTAATAGGGAGCAACAGAGGGTAATGATGGGGAATGGGCAGCTATACTGTATAATGGGCACTGGAGCAGCAGAGAGTGAGGGGTGGGAAGGGGCAGCTATATTGTATAATGGGCACTAGGGTGGAGCAGAGGGTGGAGGAGGGAAGGGGCGGCTATACTGTATAACGGGCATTAGGGGCAGTGGGGGGTGAGGGATGGGAAAGGATCAGCCATCTCATCAACTTAAGTGCATTTAGGATCAGATTCTGATCTCAATTCCACCTTAATATGGATCTCTGAAGTCAAAGCCTTTCCCTCCTGTTTCCATCAGTCTAATTAAGGTCAGAATCCGACCTGTATCAGTGACATTGTACATATTGTTACATTTTCATTCCATCCACCCATTATAACATAGACAAATATCCTTCCAATAATTAAAATCATGATTCATCACTATATTTCATGTTCTCCCCATGTAGTATTTCGTGAATTATTGTTTTGAAAAACAGTGCAATTATGAGAGACGCAAATAAGGATCAGTGGGGATTGTTGCTAACAAAGCTTTGGATGCACAACATTGTTAACGTGTTTTAGATTTAGGTATGTCTGTGTGGTTAGCTAGGAAGAACAATTGTCTTCTTTGTTTTGTAGTGAGAAATATAGAGATAACCTTATTCATCCTTAAGAGCTGAAGCAAACAAACCAATTCCCTTGCGGGAAAGAGATGACAACAAGAAGATGCTTTCAAAGAAGCATCCCACACAAAATGGTAGCTTCTGGGAAGCTGACATATGTAGTATTCCAATGTCCAAATGCAATAATGATATAGACTATGGATAAAATGTTCAAAACGCCAAAGTGATTTATGTGCTTAAGTCCTATTGTAAATCAATGGGATCTAGGCTATATGCATGTGTGTCTTTTCAAAAGCCCTACCAGCCCTGCTATTGACCTAGGAATACCTAGCTTCTTTAGATGCCCGCACTGTGGTGTTATGTATATTACTCTGATTCCCCTTAAAATTACTATCCACTATTAACAGAGGAATCCTTAGGACCTGCTGCAGTTCTTTCGATCTTCTATTTTCACAGGCCTTTGAGCCGTCTCAAAACAGTCCTGTAGGCTCAGTAGGAGATCAAGCCAAAATCATCAAAGTTAATAACTTTGGCATTGTCCCTTAAGGGTTTGTGGAAAGGTGGCTTATCTTTTCCTTTCCTTTTTTTTTTTTTTAAGTACAGTTGCCTGTTGAGTTAACCCCATATTGTCATACAGAAAAAGAGTCTCAGTAACCAGGAACATATGACATTACTAAATTATTACAGAGCAGCTCTGGATCTATGCTCTAGTTGCACACCAGTTTCTTGGGATTTAGGGATCATTGAGTGAGACTCTCTGGCCTGTTTTATATGGGAGGTTAGATTAGATGCTCATAGTGGTTCCTTCTGGTTTTTAAATATATGGATCTATGAACAAATGAAAGCCGCAGACACCAATGGCTTTGATTTCAGTGGTTTCTTAAGAGTGAGCCAAAATGGCCAGGCCTATGACAGGGATCAAGACATCGAGTGACTGCCTTTTAGACTCAAAAACACAGCTCAGGTTATCACCTTTTAGTGTAACCTACATGAGTTAGCTCAGTGTCACCACATTCTCACAAAAGCCACACATCTATTGAGAGATTTCCTCAAAGCCTCCTTGACCTCTTTGTTTCTCAGGCTGTAGATGAGGGGGTTGACCATTGGAGTCAGGACTGTGTAGAAGACAGAGAACACTTTGTTCAGGCTTCTCAGTGTATGTGTTTTTGGTACAACATACACCATGATTAGGGTCCCGTAGAAGGTTGTAACGACAATCAGGTGAGAGGAGCAGGTGGAAAACGCCCTTTGCTTCCCAGTAGTGGATGGGATTCTTATGATACTGGCTATGATATAGATATAGGATGTCAGGGTTAATAGAAATGGGGGAAAGATATCTATGGAAGCAAAACAGAAAGCAACAAGTTCTATCAAGTAGGTATCACCGCAGGACAGTTGGACCACTGGGGTGAAGTCACAAAAGAAATGATCAATTTTACTGGGGCCACAAAAAGTTAATTGTGACATCAAACATATTAATATGGTGACAACCACAAAGGCAATGATGCAAGACCCTGCTGCTAACTGGAGGCAAAACTTGCCATTCATAACAGTTCCATAATGCAGTGGTTTACATATCGCTAAATACCGATCATAAGACATCACAGATAAGAGGTAACATTCTGCAGCAGCCAGGCCAGCAAAGAAATAATACTGTACAAAACAACCACTAACAGAAATGGTTCTGTCCCCAGTCAGGAGACTGGCCAGCTCCCTGGGCAGGATGGTGGAGGTGTAGCAGATCTCCAAGCAGGACAAAATCCCCAGGAAGAAGTACATGGGGGTATGAAGGTGCTGATCAGCCACAACTAATGCTGCAATGAGGATGTTCCCAGCCAGGGTCACAATGTAGATCAGTAGAAAGAAGAGGAAGAGAAAGCTCTTCAGTTCAGGGAGTTTTCCAAATCCCAGGAGGATGAATTCCTTGCCGGCCGTTTCATTTCCTAGTTCCATGTCTGCCATGGGTTCTACCTTTGGAAGAGAAAACAAACTGAACTGGCAGTTGAAGACCATCAGGGTACTTTTCAATATACGCCATCTATTTCATTGCACAAATTATTAGTCCCCCATCTCCCCTTGTGGTGATGTGTCCATATCGCTGATGCATCATCTGACCTTCTGCTTTGGATCATGCATATTCTAGTTCCCCACCTTCACCAAGAAGAGATCAAACAAATTCTCTACCGATCCGTACCCCTGACAGAACTCTGATAATTTCATTTTTTTATTCTCATTGGTACCCTAAACGCCTAATATTTTACAGCACAAACAATCTCCTAGGCTGATCATGTTTGGGTTTTGCTTTTCTTGTTTCAGGAGATAGACATTTACCATTATATACTAATAACACTTAATGTCATCCATTTTTCAAAGGAGGATCGGACACAATTCTTCTAAGCTATTGAGTTGACCTCTCAATCCTGATCTCTTTCTTTATCTCCCTATCTCTCCCTTTTGATACACTGATTTCTCTCTTTACCATTTTTGAAGTGTTGATCATAATTATACTTAGGCATTAAAAAATGGAACACGAGAACTGTCATACAGTTCATACAGAAGATTGGAGGAGTGTTTTGATCAGTGTCCCATCCCTCACAATGTCAGACATTTTCTCTCAAGGAAATGCTGTTTTTTAGTTGAAATAAAGTTAAAACCTCAAAACATTTTTTTAAAAATTTATTGTTAGTTATTTTTGCTTTGGGCACTGAATTGGCTGAAAATTACTGAACATTTTTCAACCCCAAACCAAAACATTTTCTATTTTTGCCTGAAAATGTTCTATCTTATTTTGTGTTTTTGCTGTTCCAAGTAAAAATGAAAGACTTTTGCAGGAAAGCAGACCTGTTTGGAGAAAGCTCAGTTTTCCGGTCTAGAAAACTTTGGATGTAAATCTTTGGACCAGTCTTAATGTCAACACAAGACTTGGATTTTGATTTGAATCATCAGAATATGCCCAAGTACATTAGATCATCTATAGTTTCATAAGAAAAATAAATACCTTTGTTTCAGGGTTTAAAGCAATGAATATCTGTCTGGGATTATGAAGAAGTGTGTTATATAATTCCTCTGCTTCCTCAGGAGCATTTGATACAGACCACTATCGAACAGTCTGACCTTGCAGCTCATAAGATATGTCTGCACTGCATTATAAACCTGGGTGTGTAGGACCTGGGCTTGTGGACTCTGTTTCCATGCCTGCACTTGAGCATCCAGACTGCATTGCTTACAATGCCTGGACCTGAAATCATGTGCAGTCTGGACATACAGGCATAGGACTTCCCTGAAGTCATTCCTCTTTGAATGAGAGTAGATCTTTTAGAAAACCCAGACAAATTTATGTTAGCCCTTTCCTGCTTTTTGCCTTTACAGTAACTCCTCACTTAACATAGAAGTTATGTTCCTGAAAAATGCTACTTGAAGCGAAACAAAGTTAAGCGATTCCAACTTCCCCATATGAATTAATGTAAATGGGGGGCGGGGTTAGGTTCCAGGGACATTTTTTTTTGCCAGACAAAAGATATATATATATATATATATAAGTTTTAAACAAACAATTGAATACTGTACACAGAAATGATGATTGTGAAGCTTGGTTGAGGTGGTGAAGTCAGAGGGTGGAAGAGGGTGGGATATTTCCCAGGGAATGCCTTACCGCTAAATGATGAACTAGCATTTGGCTGAGCCCTCAAGGGTTAACACATTGTTGTTAACGTAGCCTCACACTCTACAAGGCAGCACGAATGGAGGGAGGGGAGACAGCATGGCAGAGAGAGACAGAGACACACACTGTGTGTGTGTGAGACAGACACGCCTTGACCCTTTAAGTACGCTTACCCCACTCTAAGTATACTGCATTTTTAAGTAGATCAGTATGTTAAGACAGCAGGTGCTGCCAGCAAGTTCCCTGTGTCCTGAGCCCTGTTGTGTCATCCGCCCTCCCCCCGCTCTGAGGAGATAAAGATACAGGAGCAGGGGGCAGGAGTGGGGGGAGGAGGACACCCTGACATTAGCACCCCTCTTCCTCCCCAGGCAGGGAGATCCCAGGCAGAGGACAGGAGCAGCACATGGCAGTGCGGGGAGGGAAAGTTGAACTGCCTTGCAATTAATAGCCTGCTGGATGGATGCCACACAGGGAACTTAGGGGAGCAGGGAGCTGATAGGGGGGCTGCCAGTCCACCCTGGTTCCAAGCCCCCACCAGCTAGCTCCAACGGGCTGCTCTTCCTGAAAGCAGTGGACAAACCAGAGAGCTGCCAAACAAGTTATAAGGGAGCATTGCGAAACTTTAGACCACCATGTTCTCTAATTGATCATCAAAGTAACAATAAAACAACATTAACCGGGACGACGTTAAGTGAGGAGTTACTGTAATTCTTTTTCTTTTTTCTCTAGACGTTCAGGGTTGTGTCTCCATCCCAGGGTCAAGATATCCAGAAGGTTTGATTTAAATGGGATTGCACCCAATCTGCTATTATAGCTAGAGTTTTTAGCTCAGTGTTCTGGATTAAAAAAAATATTTTGACTCTTCAGGGAGTCTATAGTGATGACAGAAATAAAGACAGACAGAGGAAACAGGGGAGCAGAGAGGTGTATGGAAATGGTTAGATAGATAGATCGATCGATAGATGTGTATGGGGAAAGAAAGAAAGTTCCCCATACACATCTATCTATCTCTGAACCCTTCTGTATGTTTTACTGACCTGCTTGACATGTGTATCTTCTTTTAATTCAATTTCATATAATAATGGAATTATTCCTCATTTTAGTCTGGTCCATGAAATTATTCATATCAGTCAATTATTCACATTCATCAACACTCACAGTGATTCCGGAGAAGAAGCATGATAAGACATAGCTTTGACACAACACATTGAATATTCCTAGCCGGTTAAAGATCATTTCTGGCCCATTAAAGACCTTTCTTCCCCAACATCCCAGTGAGGGAAGCCTTAGCTCATGTTTGCCACTTCAAAATCCCATGATTTAATTGAAACAGAAGTGGTGGAAATGTTTTACCTTTAAATCTGTTCTACGCAAGGCTGATTTTCGGATGCCGTCCCTTTCCCCAGTGATTCAGAGACCAGGATACTGGTTCTGCAGTTTATCTTCTTCCATCATCTGCTTCACGTTCTTCAACAGTGCCAGGAAAGAGATCTACTATGAATATTCTATATGGTGCTATTTGCCTTGTGCCCAGTTCCTACAAGAGAGACCCTCTCCAGATTTCTCTTTTATCCCTTCTGTGGGAAGGTGACATCTCCCTTGATGCTTACCTTGATTAATGAGAAGGAAAACTCAACACACTAGTGCTGTAGATGGTACAAACACCAGAGGGAATGGAGACAAACTGCTACCCTCCGAGGAAATGGCCTTCCTTACTACATGCATGTGATGAGGTCATTGGTCACCTCCAATTATGGTGCTACAGTCCAAGAAGAGACTTACAAGAAACCTATTGCACATTTTCCCACCCAATTGCTATTTAGGAGACTCTTAAAAAAAAAAGAGTGGGGTCCCTCACCCATGTCTTCAGGGTGGAAAGAGAAAGGGAGGGTGTGACAGCTGGTCATGTACTCAGTGTAAGATATCAGATAATGCTTGGGATTTTCCTGACATGCTGCTGACTTTCAAATGGACTTCTGCTCTTAAATCATGTAGACACTTGTGAAAAGCTCACATATTGTATTCTCTGTTTCACCCTGGGAAGGATGAGAGAGGACATTCAGGCTGAAAGTTTTCAAGGGGCCTAAGTGAGTTAGGCCTTGCATTCCCAATGCCTTTTGATGACATTTCAGTGTCTACCTCACTTAGGCACATTTCAAACACCCAGCCTCAGGTCCCAGACTTCTATGGAGACATAAATGTCTACACAAATCTTAGTGACTTCACCCTTTTCATTATCTATGCTCTAATATGCCTATCAATGTGGCATCTGGGAGCGTCACATACGTTCATGGACTTACTCTCCCTGCATCCAAGTGTGGTAGGGGACTATTATTATGCACAGGGGAAACTGAGGCATGGGGGGATTAACAGCATCTCAAAGTCACATAGTGAATGTGTGAGAGAGCCAAGTAGAGTCTCAGACTTGCAGACGTTAAGGCCAGAAGGGATCATAATGATCATCTAGTCCAGTGGTTCTCAATCTTTTGTACTGGTGACCCCTTTTCACATAGCTGCAGAGGAAGGTGGGGGAGAAAAACCAAAAAAAAAACAAAATTAGACCAGGGTCTCTGCCAATCTGACCTGGGGGGAAATTCCTTCTGAACCCTAAATATTGTGGTCAATTAGACCCTGAGCATGTGGGCAAGACCCACCAGTCAGACACCTGGGTAAGAATTCTCTGTAGTAATTCACAGACTATGACAGAAAAAATAGGTTATCTTCTCAAAGAAAGAGATTGGGTTAGTCTGACATGACCTACCTTTAGTAAAACCATAATGTATTTGATCCCATTTACAGTTTACCTCTATGACTTTAATTAGCCTCTCTTTCAATATTTGTTCTAAGAGCTTGCAAACAATTGAGAAATTGAGATCAAACTAACAGGCCTGTAGATCCTGAATTATTCCCCCCCCCCCCGCCCTTTTTTATATAGTTTCTATATTTGCAGTTCTCCAGTCATAGGGTAAAACGCCTGAGTATCTCAAGTTTCACTATCTTGATTTAAGCTCAGAACCATCCACCCTTCTGTGACGAACTGGGACTGTTCTTACTGTGGTCTGTGAATGCTGACAGGGGAGTGTGG